ATGTCATTCAATGGTCTAGTCAGCATGTGCCCCATCCATTTTCTACATATTTGTTGAGCAACAGGGTCCTGGTTACTTCGTTTCTAGAGTTTCTTCTGGCTAATTCTTTCTGGCTGACTCTCAAATCCTCTTTGTGGAGCCAGCAAAAGAACATGTGGATAAAAAGTCTGACGTTGCCTGTTGGAAATACTTCCTGTGACGCATACGCCAAGTTTCGCACTCATAAAGAAGAAGAACTGACTGACTTGACATTTGTGTTGAAAATCTGAATTTTGTTCATGATGCTGAGTGGATTAAGATTTCCACATTGATTTCAACTTGCTGAAGATGCATATTGCCTTTCGGATTCTGGCTTTGATATCTTCATCCGTTCCGACTACCTATGGTTGAAACGATGCTTCCTTGCTAAGTGAAGGAAATTATTATTATTATATTGTTTCCTTTAGTTCCTAGAGGAACATAGGGCTTCAGCCGAACATCCTCATTGAGCCTTCGGTTCTCTGCTAACATTTTCACTTGGCTACACGTCTGCCCATAGACTTTCATCTCCTCCTCCATGTCACTCGCACACTGACCACCAACTAACTCGCCGCTTCCCATTCCGATTCCATTCAAGCGACGGCCTGGCATGCGATATCACTTGATGGTTTCCTTAGAGTATGGCCGATCCACCTACATTTCTTCCTGAAGACTTGTTGCACAATCGGTTCCTGGTTGGTATCAATTGTGAAGGAAATAACCTCTGTCAAATTTCTCCCGTTGGTGGTGACTGGTGCTGGTTGTTGTTGCTGTTGGTTGATTATCTTCATCACCTCCGACTCCGATAACAACCAGTGGTGTTCGACAGGGATGTCCACTTTCCCTATTTCTGTTTAACTTCGTCATATATATGCTAATGGAAGTATCCTTAACTGAACTTAACGACTTAGAAATCGACCTGTTACCAGGGAATAGTCTTATGAACTTAGAATATGCAGATGACATAGTCCTGTAAGGGGATGATGCTGACAAAATCCACCGGAGTCTTCTGAACACCTTGAGCAGCAATCTTCGTATGTTTAGCATGCGATTCGCCCCTACAAAATGTAAGATGCTGCTACAGGACTGGACTACGTCAACTCCTAGCTTAGAGATACGGAGTGAAGTGATAGAACATGTTGACCACTTCGCCTATTTGGGAAGTTGTATTAGCACCAACGGACTGATTGGCGATGAAATCTCAGTACGGATCCGAAAAGCTCGAGCTGCTTTCGCTGACTTACACCATCTCTGGCGTAGGCGTGACATCCGGCTATCAACCAAGGGACGTGTGTACTGCTCAGCTGCAGTTCACTCCGTCCTTCTCTATGGCTCTGAAACATGGCCAATACGAGTTGAAGACATGAAAAGGTTGACTGCTTTCGATCATAGATGTCTGCGATCTCTGTCTCACGTTAGGTGGTTTAACAAGGTAAGTAATGTTGACGTTAGGCGTAGAGTGTTGGGTAAAGAGGGAAAATCAATCGACGAGGCTATAAAGTTACATAGATTGAGTGAGATGGCTAGGTGACGTTCTGCGCATGCCTAACCACCGCCTCCCCCGCCGACGGCCATTACTAGCTGATATAGGTGCAGGTTGGAAAAGAGTAAGTGGCAGGTGGCCAAACAAAAACATGTCATCAATCCATGAAATCCTTGACAGTTAAACTGAGTCGGTCGGTCAGGTAGGGAGATGCAGACTTCCGAGTTGGGGCCCTCGGGACTGACTCTAGGAACCAATGGCTGGAGACAATAGGTGACATGGCTCAGAATCGCTGTCAATGGGCAACGCAGATGTATTCAGTCTTTGTAATTTTTCATATTCCTTTCTACTATTACCCATTCTCTTTCACTCTTATACTTGTCAGACTGTATTGATTCTCTTCACTCATCTTCTTGTCTACCTCTGTGTGTTATTTGGAACGTGGCAATTCGAACTGGTGCACTTCGGTGCCAAGTTCTATGTTGAATCCAGAGAGACAGACAGACTCCACCTGCTCTATGTTCACCAGGAGTCCTGTTTTCGCTGCCTGCCTCTTCTAGTTTGTTGACTTCTGCCTGTAAATTTTCGACTGTGTTATACTAGTTAGATAAAATTTCAGTAATCTAAATCACATTCTTCATGTACCGAGTCATAGTTACTTAGTGTGTGTGTGTGTGTGTTAAGGTTGGCTGCTGACCATACTACAAAGCTTCCTAGTCTGAAGTAGATAGTGAATCAAGACTGTACAAGAGTGACTTACATTGGCTGAAAGCGAATGAACTATAATATTAACACTACGCATCATACTAAGTAAAGCATCAATTTCTCTTCAAATCACTGCTGGTTATCTCATATCCTGTTGATATTTAAGAATGCTGTTTTTTGTTCGGCTTATTACATAAAGAAGTTGAAACTTTCTGCTAGTATAACTCAACCTCTTCTCTTACAATTGATTAATTCATGTATTCTACCCTTTCTCCTTTATCGTTCCACATTATTCTTTCTTGGGCACCTCAAAAAGGACATTATCATATTGCGTAGAACACTAGAAGCTGTAGTTAGCGGGGTTAGTGGTGTGCCTTTGACTCAGCTAAACTGACATTATTGTCAATAGGCACTACACAATTCTCGCAATCACTTGGCTAAAGTTATCTCTTGTCTGATATCGAACACCCCCTTCTTATCGTTCTCAACTTATTCCTTATATCTCTTCGGGTATAACACTAGAAGAAATTTCATAAGAAACATTTTCGCTCATACATCTACTAAATATAAAAAAAATTCTACCATACCACCATACTTAGCATGGGCTTTGTGTGTGAAGAGAAAGAGACAAATCTCAGGAGAGAACTCATGAACTTTTTAAATCAATATTATATCTATGATAGATATTATCTACTTATAGTTCATTATGTTTCCGCCAACATTCTGTTTTTTGCGGTTTCATTATTATTATTATTATTATTATTATTATTATTATTATTAATATTTTAGATTTTATACATTTGTGTAAATAGTTGCAATATGTATTAAAACGTTGAAAATTCGGTCAAGTTAAACTTTAAGCACCATTGCTTAACAATGGAGTGCGACCCCAACAATGACCTTGAAACCTAGCAAATAATGCTGTCACCATCAATAAAATATGCTCATCGAAATGTTATGCTATGAAATGCGATGTCTGGTAAGTTTCAGGTCAGGTTTGGAAAAGATTAAGTTAAGGGTTAGGGGCAAAGGGTAGATTAAGGTTAGTTTAACCTAATGACTACGATAATACTAGGGTTGGTTTGGAGTTAGATTAGAGCTAGTTTAAGGATATTTTCACGTTATGGTTAGGTTCAGGAAACGTTAGGGCTATCGTTAGGGTTAGAAGACCTAAATAATTATATGCATAGAATGTGGTTAAATTACTCTGCTGATATAAAAAAAAATAACTTTGTGCACTTTGGCGGTAGAGTATAATTCCACTGTTGTGGGTAAAATTTATTTTGATAAAATCAAACTGGGAGCTATTTTTTATCGCATGTGAGAGGAAGGTATACCCTGTAACACTTTTCTACAGTTTTTATGCATCTTTTTTTTCATAAATATATGTATTTCATACACTAAAAGTGCCTCCACATGATTGGTGCTTTCGACGCGTCATTTGCTGATTGATAGTGAGTGGTGCTTAAAGTTTAACTTTACCGGAAATTCCATTCTGTATAATAATAAGTATTGGTTTTTACGGATTTGATTGGTTCTCTAACCGATGTCAGCTCATGATGAAATCCTATAACCAATCAGTCAAATCCCTGCAAACCAATACTTGAATATCAATAAGACGCTCACTAGCAACTGGTCCTATTCAGGTAGGTAATTACCTGGACTTCTCTAGTGGGAAGTCGTGACCAGTAGGGTACAGCAAGTTGGGTGTGAGGACAAATACTCGCCACGGATGACGTTGGCTAGTGGATGAGCTATATCGTAAATCGGCAGAAGTTAGAATTCATGGACTGGCCAGAGGATCGGGTCCACAGAGTGGCTTAGTGGTCTACGAGCTCGCTAGCCTTGTAACCAGAAGATCCTAAGTTTGAAGCCCACGGGTGGATGTGTACCGATGAAGAGTCGCAAACCCGGCTGACGAAACAGTTGTCTAGTACTTCCGGGTTTTCCAATAGTTCTGTAACCGATGTCAGCTCATGAAGAAATCCTGCAACCTATTATTATTATTATTATTATTATTAAAAGTTGCAAACAAAGATGAAACAGCTGTTCAGTGCTCATCAGTCCTCTCAATGATTCTTAAGTGCACAAGTGATTATATCACATCCCATACAATTTAACAATTTTCGTGTGTGTGTGGACATACATACATAGGGAGGAGTAATCGCGCTTTGCACGTGAGGGTGGGAGAGCATATCCAAAATGTTTAGAAAAACAGATGAATTGTGACAAGCTAATAGATGCAGGTGTCAGACTACCAAATTCGTCTATAGCCAAACACCTAATCGAGATGAACCATAATATTGATGTTAACTCAGCCTTTAAAGTCGTCTATAAAAACGGTCAAGGGCGCTTATTGACATACGCCGAGGCTATATCTATTCATAAATTTAAGCTCCCCACTCTGTGTATTCAAAAACAGTTTATCTTTACTCTTAACCTACCTTGGTAATCCTTATTTGATTGGATTACCAAACGTTTGTGTTAATTATTCTTAATTCCGTTTTCTCTCACTTTGTTTAATTTAACCTTTCCATATATTGACTTGACAAGTAAATGTGTGATGAGATTGTTCGAAATGTATAGCGCTAATACATCACATTTTTCAGATAGTCTCCGTCTTCTAATAACGCTATCAAAATTTATAACAGGGACTAATTGTTTTAAATGATTCTTAAACTGATGTGTGTCAATTTGTTAATTTGGTTAAATAAAATAATAAACGATATTAATTTTTTCCTAAAAAAAAAAGGACCAGGAACACATAAGAAGGCAGAGAAATACAAGAACATACCGTCAGAAGATGAGATGTTTCACTGCTACCAGTCACAACTGTTTTCGCAGATTGAGTTAAATCCACTATATAAGAGGATTTGTTTTTTAAAAAAAAAAGACGAAAGTGAAATAATACTCGAAATGGCAGAGATAAACATAAAAATACTATATAAAAATATAAAAAAATAAGTACGTTGAATAAGTGAACCTGAGTAAAATTGAAACTAAGTGAGACTATTAAAATTTGAGACATTATTATTCCCTTGGGTTCCTAGTGGAATATAGAGCTTCAACAAATCATCTCTACTGTGTTTTATTCTATCTGGTGTCTTCTTCATCTGGCTGGGCCCTTGATTGCCCATAATTTCTCATCTCCTCCCCAACACACGACCTCCTCCATGTTATACCCTCACACTGACGACCCACTCGTCACTTCCTATTTGGATCCCACAATGTCATACTGTGGTGAGAGGTTTTATTGATGGAGACATATGCATCTTTGGACAGGACTTCGAGGCTTCTGAGTAGTTGAGTGGCGTTCAAGATCTGTCAGCGATGAGACTGATACTTAGGACGCTGCTGGGAGGTTGGGAGAAAGCAGTATATGAAAATGTGGGGCAAAATACCGACGGATGTGCGACAGGGTCAGGCAAACAGTTTCCAAAGTGGGAAGGACTACTTTGAGATGGGGTTACGCAGACACAATCGCAACAGTAATCAAAGATAAACGAGTGACCATCAGCAGGCGCCAAGAATCCAGACAACAAGACAAACGAGCAAAGACCCTAGAACCAAGAAGACCGAACCAACATCAGTTTCAAGTTTTTGACGGGGGGACGAATGTGGTGAGAGGTGGCTGCTAGCCAAAAGTGGTAGATAGCATTTTACGTCAATATGTACGTCCCAAATATTGGTGGTGAGAAAATATGAACAAGACTGATTCAACAACCAATCACAGCAGACTTTGAGTAGGCAGATATAGTTAACATATAGATGATCTGACATTCAAAAACAACCACAAAGAAATGCAAGGTCAACTTTCTGTGAGGAACAACCAATCAGAAGATTGTTTTTGTTTGCTTGAATAATCTATAATAATGTACATGAAAATATATAAATGTGTTGATTTCCTCAATAAACGATTTGTTGCCTGGCCCTTGTCTTCTGTTGTTACAATACGACGGCCTCCTCAACGTATATCCGATCCATTTTATCCTATATATTTGTTGAGCAGTTGGCTGGTTTGTTTGTTGGTTTGTTGCCAGAGTTTTAGACATTAATCAATCAGAATTTGGGAAATAAGTAAAATAAACGACACGGCTGACTGACTGCGATTCAACCAATTAAATTGGATGAAGTTGGTCGTCAATGCAAGGTTACTCACAGTTTACTTACATCACGTTTCCACTACTACACACTAATGTTTCATGAGTAATTACCTACATAGTCTTCTTTAGAATCTGTTGATTGTAACCTGAAATTCAAATCTCAATTAACACACCTGTGGAAACATTCATTTTCATGCTAAGATAATAGTGTAGTATCGTAAAAGCAGAAGACAAGGGCCAGGCAACAGATCGTTTATTAAGGAAATCAACACGTATTTATATGTATTTCATGTACATTATTATAGCTTATTCGAGCAGACAAACACAGTCTTCTGATTGGTTTTTTCTTGTTCAAGGTTATTCTGTGCTGCTTGTGACTGGTTTCTCGGAAAGTTAAGCCATATATCTGTGAATCTTATTTGCCTACGTTAAGTGTGCTGTGATTGGTTGTTGAATCAGCCTTGTTCATATTTTCTCACGGCCAATATTAGCGACATAGACATTAACGTAGATTAATGTCTACCAATTGGCTAGCAGCCTGCTCTCACCACAGTATTAGTGACTGTGTTGATGAACTCCCTGGATATGAGTATATATCTTGCTACTAGTTACACACACTCACACACAACAACAAACAGGACAAACAGTAGGTGATGTCGATCACAAATTGATCAAAATGATGAATATAATAATTTGTCGCTAGCAAAGCTAATTTACTTTTCATCATTCAAAGAACATGGCATTTGATCCTGTAGAATACTTGTGTTGAAAGACTCAGATCACAGTATATGCACTTTCAATATTGCTGCATTCTCTAAAATTTAACTTTTGTATGTCACACGTTGATTTTGACCTTTATTGAATTGCCTTTGTCCTTGTATAATCTTGAATTGTAATACTAATACTCTTTGTTGTTGGATGTACATTGACAATGTGTTGTTTAACAATATAAGTTTGTTTGAGTAAATAAAGGTGATTCTCATGCGTGAATGTCTTCAAAAAGCCTTGGTGTGTGATTCTTGTGGATAGAGCTTTTAATCTCACTTCGTTAGGAATATTCTCCTACTCCTCGATTCGAGGGTACCTTTTATAGTTGAACTTTATTTAGTTAGCTAATATCGTCTTACAATACTTTGTATTGTATTTAGAAACCTAACATTGCCTGCATAACTAACTAACTAACTAGCTGCCTCACACGTTTTTGAAGTAAATTTGAGGGCAAAGTTCAACAACAGTGTCGTCCCAGGAGTGCGAACGTACGAGTGACCTTCAGCTGACCAATCATAAAAATGAGGAATGTTTGCTCAAAAAATGATTTATATTGACAAGAAAATGCTTAAAAACACACTAAACAGGTTATCTTTCTGTGACATGGCTTAAAAACACGTCCTAGTTATATCAAGGAGTATCAGTTGCCAAGTTAGACTAGTTTCGGTACATGTATTCACCGAGATGACTACAGATGAACTGTTTTTGTGAATCATTTGTCTCTCTCATCCTGCTTGCAGTCTTCCAAAAAAGCCCTCGGTTGAACTATTATGGTTTCCAGCAAGCGGGATAAACGACTGCTTAGCAGGAAAACGTGGATAATAAAACAAATTAAAATAAATGACATCAACTATAAAGCTATCCCTAATCGTTACCCTAATCATGACCCTTATCCAAACCGTAATTCTAACCCTAATGCTAATTATTACCATGATCCTAACCCTAACGAGCTATTAACACCTTGTCCAAACGTGATCTGCTTAAAAATTTGCTCTTAAGTTGGTAAATAGCGTTGATATTTCAGCTATGATAATGACAGATGCCGTTAGTCAACAATGACTACCATGCGTTCAGGATCATTGGAGCGATCACACTCCTGCCTGGGACGCTATTGCTGAACTTCGCCAATTTGAGTTTTGATGTAAGTATTGTTGTTTAATAGACCGGTTAAAATATTGAAGAATAATCGTCTTTTCGCACCCTGTAATGACTGTGAGTTAAGTCAACTCTACAGAGGTCAGTCAAACTAGTAGATCAGGAGTAGTTAGATTATCAGAACATAAGAATTTAGCTAAGGTTAGAATGATTGATCTCCCCCGCGAAGATAAGTAATTTGGAAAGAGGAGCTTATCAAATCCACTGCATGCATTAACACACAACAACACACTAGGGTGGCACAGAGTTAAAATTCTAAAAAGTAATATAGGTAGGTGGAGAGAGAGAGAGAGAGAGAGAGGTTGATTACTGACTTATCACTCAAATCAGAAACATGGAAAATACTACTACCAATCAAATCAAACGATGAAAAATAATGATGGAAGTATATAAACGAAGCAAGAAAGTTGTATGAGTAGTGCCTTGATATGATTATGAGCAGTAGCAATAAATTGGAGTGCTCAAAACCTGTTCATCATCAGTAAAAATATTACCTACCCTATAACAAACACTGTGTGTGTGATTTTATCAAAATAAAAATTGTATCCATAATTGAACTTCAGTATAGTGTTATTACGTCATTCAATCAAATTGAACACTTGACCAGCATATTTTTGTTGCTAGTGACAAGTTCACAAATACACGTTCCTTGTAGTAATTACGTTGGACGGTTTTGTTTTTTAGTTCGAATCCCACTCCGTCATATCTCAACCACATAGAGAATAGATACTATTCATCAGTCCTGGTTACAATATATTTGCCTTATAGTACCCTGTATATGAAAAAAAGGCTAGCTGACCAACTGAGTTATGCAGCGATTCAAGTTACCACCCTTCATATAGTTAATATCCAAGGATAGAGAAAAAAAAGGAGATTGAAAAGAACTATAATACCCAGAAATGTTCAAGAGAAAGAAAATAGTGCGGATTGTGCTACTGACAAGATTTATCAGTAGTGATATAGACATTGATTGATAGGAAGCAGACAAAGTTGACAACTAGCTGCAGAGGTAGCAGTGTTTATTCCACAAATTTGGGTTTCGTTTACGATGTGGTCTGTCAATAATCTCATTGAAAAACTTTTTACTGCAACGTTTACCCTCCGGAAAATTGACAATCAATCAGAACAGTGTACTGTCCCTCTGAACTTGTCAAAATTTAATCTGGCTAGAAATGCTGTCTGTCTGTCTGTCTCTCTGTTTTCGACATAGAACTTTACATCAATGTGCACCAGTTCAAGTCGCCATACTCCCTCCATTTACCACACAAAGCAAGAGAAGAAAGTACAACAAAAGCATAATAGAGACAGTAAGCAGTGGTGTGAAACAAAGAAGGAGTAATAACGAAGAACAAAACAGTTTCATTGGAAACCATAACTCACAAGATATGGATGCATCTGCACCAGTCATTGACAACGATTTTGAGCCATATCACTGATTATTTCCAGCCATTGGTTCTTACCGTCCCAAGGACCCCGACCTGGAATTCTACACCTTCCTACGTGACTAGCTTAAACTAACTGTTGTAGATTTGATTGACTGGTGCCATGTTTTGGTTTGACCTCCACTAGCTTTTTTCCAGCCTGACCCTATATCAGCTAACATTGCCCATTGTTGAGGAAGGCGATGACAAGGCATACGTAACACATGTCCTAACCACCTCAGTCTTTGTAACTTCACAACCTCGTCGATTGATTTCCCCTGTTTACCTAGAACTCTACGCCTAACCTCAATGTTGCTCACCTTATTATGCCACTTCACACGGGAGATAGAGCGCAGGCACCTATGATCAAAAGACAGCTAACCTTTTCATGTCTTCCACTCTCAAAGAAATGCATGAATATTGATGTAAAGGATTACAACAAAACATGAATCAATTTGTGTCATTCAGGATGATTTTTAGCAATATCACCTAGACAGTCTACACCCGCCCCTCTCCCTAAGTAACTCAAACCAACTACCAAAGATTTTATGGACTGGTTATAAGAGAAGGTTTTGACTTGACCACCCCTAAACTCTTTTCCAACCTATTCCTATGTCAGTTAACATCACTCATCGACGAAGACGGCGGTTTGGTATGCGCAACACGTGTGTCTTGACTATCATCCACGCCCCAATCGATACAGCTTCACAACCTCATCAGTTAACTTGCCCACTATGCCTAGCACTGTACATGACAAATCTGTCCCACCTAACTGACTGACTTCCAAATATAGAAAACAAGAGAACGATGGGCACGTACACACACATGCACACACGCGCACACGCAATTATAACAAGACAATTACATCAATAAGACTCACCTTCACTATCCATATGACGAAAGGCTTGTATCTCAGCTAACATTCTATCATTTAAATTATTATTATTGTTATTTGTATTTGATGCAGCTAATGAATTAGGGCATAATTCTGGGACACTGTAAATATTTCCATCCAATTTACTAAAAGTATCAATACAACCACTACAAGTCACGGTAATAGCTGTGGGAGTAGTCACGATCATATCAAAAACAGTACTGTTATTATCACAAGGACAATTACTGCGTGTATTAGTATTAGTGATATTCATACCAGGATGTATGTCTGCTGCCGCTGGACTACACTGATTGCATAATCCAATTGTTGTTGTTGCTCTTGTTCTCAGCAGTGATGAATCATCATCAGTTGGTACAGTAGAATATACATGAGCATATGTACCATCACACACTGAATCTGCACCTGAAAACGAAGATAAACCAATGAACTATAAACTTTATTACTCAGCTATAAAAGTTAACTAACTTGAAATGGATTACAATGATATCCGGATTTAGTACAGTGAATTTGACAGAGGTAGGATAGAATTCTCAAACTACACAATTGCGAATAGTGGATCAAAAACAAAGAAAGTTCTTGTGTACTTATGGAAATTTGTAGGCAGTTGACGTCTTCTAGTTAGTTGCCCATACCGTGGAAATGTTGTTGCATGCCCGTAGAACCTAAAGGACAACTGATTGAAGTCAGCCACACACATCTTGTTCGAAGTGGTCTTTATTATTATTATTATTGTATCCTTTAGTTCCTAGAGGAACATAGGGCTTCAGCTGCGCACCTCCATTGCCTTCGGTTTTCTGACAACTTTTTCACTCTGCTCCAGGTCTGTCCACATGCTTTCATCTCCTCGTCGCATGACCTCCTCCAAGTCACCCTTGGACGACCAACTCGCCACCTCCCTTTCGGGTTCCACTCGAGCGATGGCTTGTCTAGTGATGTCACTTGATGGTTTTCTCAGCGTATGGCCAATCCATCTCCATTTCTTTCTGCCTATTTGTTTCACAATCGGTTTCTGATTGGCTCGCTCCCAGAGATCCCTGTTGCTGATCTTTTTTGGCGTATTTCCGCTGGCTACGGACCACCGCAACGTAAGTTGCGATGTGCTATTCTCTAACCATATATACACATATATTTGGAGCTAGATGCGTCACAAAAAGTAATTCCAACAGGCTGTACCAGACAACTTTCGTCAACAGTTGTCTTAGCTGCCTCTATGCCAAAGATCAAATGATTGGCAAAAAAGTATAAGCATTAAACGTAACGAAACAACTAAAAGTCTATCGGCCAACAAATAAACAGAAAGAAATGCAGATAGATTGGATATACATTGTGGAGACTGTTAACTGACATCTTGTGCCAGGCCTCCAAGGACAAATGCATTGTAGCTACGTAAATTTGGTATACCTTATTATTATTTGCACATCATTTGCAAAATGGTCGAATATCACCACATTCCATAGTTTGTTGTTGTTCTTCTTCTCACAGTTCCCTTCTTCGATTGCCTTTTAACAGCGCCCCGAAAAATATATTCTTACTATTCTAAATCCACTTAATCATATACTACTTATATCTGATTATAAGTAACACTAACCATAGGATATATATATATATATATATATATATCGCTGTATCTAGAGTGGTATTCAGATGAAGAGTTCTGTAGTGAACCTTGAATGTTTCGACTTTTGTTTTAACGCATACATGTACTAAGGCGCTACACCATCTTTTTTCATTCTACCTGACTGCTTGCATGTGACTCGCTCCCTCGTCGTGCTATCATTAAACGCACTCCTCGAGCTTGCTACTCCAGTCTGTCAACAGATAACTTGTACACTATTGCTACGCATTAATTTTTGGTTTATCGGTTGTAACATACATATAATCCATATCAAGACACACAACAGTGCATACGCCTTTTACCTTGACTTTATTCATAATCAGTACATACACGGTAGGATTAACCAAGGAAAGCAAGTTAAGTAGGTATTCAAGTGTTGGTTTGTAGGGATTTGATTGGGAACAGGATTTTATCATTAGCTGACATTAGTTAGAGAACCATTGGAAAACCAGCTGGGAGTACTGGAGAGCCGTTTCGTCCTGGTTTGGGACTCTTCAGCAGTACGCACCCACACCGCCACAGGTTTCGAACCCCAGGACCTCCTGGTTACAAGGCGAGCTCATATACCGATAAGCCACCTGGAGCCGATCCAACGGCCAGCCCATGAATTCTAACTTCTACTAATTGACGACATAGTACGACCGCTAGGCAATGCCTTTAGCAAGTATTCGTCGTCACACCCGACCTGCTGCATCCTACTGGTCACGACTTCTCACTAGAAGCTAAGGTAACTACCTACCTGAATCGGGCAAATCACCAGTGAGCATCTCATTGATATTCAAGTGTCGGTTTTTAGGAATTTAATGGATTGGTTACAGTTAAGTAGATGCTGACGTTTAGGCCTATCTAGAGATCGACATAGGCACTTACAGTTCTATCGAAACTAGATGGATTTATTTAATTCTATATATATATATATATATATATATATATATATATATATATATATATAAACATACCTGGCAACTCTGCATACGAGTGTTCAACATGTTTACCAATGCCACGTGAATTTAATTCACTATTATGTTTGTCATTTGTCAGTTTTATTCTATTTGTACAATTTAATAGATCAGCTGATTCAGGGTAAATACGTTCATATTCTGAAGATTCTTGATTCAACTATAAGAAGACAGAAATATTAATATTAACAATAATGTGACAATCAATGATGAGCACGTATTATCAATCATTTGGTTTGTAGCGAAAAAAGCATAGAAAAACATAGATAAGTGATCCGAAACTCAAAGATAGTAGTTTGTTCGTGGTGTTGATGCTTAGGCACAGAAGAATCGACAAGGTGCATTTTGTTCTACTTTCCGGGGGATGCAACCGATTCCTTTCAAGTCAACGATGGAAATGTCATCGAGAGTCGAACTCAGGACCGTTCTAGGTATCCTCATTGGATTCCCAACTTGTAGTTATTAATTATTTAATTCAAATTTAGACTCTCCCTGTCGATTGATTGGACCGAAGTGCTCGGTCTATGGGCACTGGGTTCCAGCCTCGGTGAGAATACACCATCAATGACTCACTGGAAAATGTAGGCACATCCACTGGTTGAAGAGTCCAAAAAGGACGAAGTGCGCACCCTGGTGGATTCCACTGCTAGTCACCATCCACCAATTTAACTTGTAGTTATTAATCTTGGAAATATCGAAGCATCCGCGTCCAAAGAACGCATATATATATATATATATATATATATATATATATATATATATATATCAAAGTGACGGTGATCGATTCCGTCTACAATGTGAGTACATCTTTTCTCACAGTATGTAACCTCGAGTTATAAATAGATAAGTATAAGCAACACATACTTTCAAAAATGATGTAAGCAGGCAAAATACTATTCAATGTTAAAAGACTAACTATTTATAATTAATTATATAATTACACAACAGGTGATGCTTAAATACTGTCTATTCATAACTGGAGGTCATTATGCGAGAAAAGATGTACACTGTTGAAAAGAATTCACCAAAATAAAGCAAGCTCATATTCAACTTCTCCAACGCATCGATTAAATATTGACAATTATGTTTCTGAATGGTGGAGAAGTGCTACGTTGATTTAAGCACTAGACGACTTACAGCCAGTGGGTGGTCCCGAGTTCGAGTTTCAACCCATATACCTCAGCCTGGGTAGTATATCACCAGCCCTCATACAATAAGTGTGTGTGTGTGTGGTTATGTCATAATCCGGTACCTACACTGAGTTCAGAAAAATATGTTTCTCAATGACAATTTATCCGCTTGACTATTAATCAGTTTAGTAAGAGAAGAAATTGTGCACAAATGGGATTGTACACCTACAAAGAGACAAAAATGAAATCGCCGACGAAAGCCTTCTCGACAGACTACTTGTTTGTTTGGTTTTTACTTTACATTTCATAAATGCCTGAATGGAGATTATTCAGGAATTATGAAGCAGTTGATTTGTTGTACAACCAGTTTGGATGTGGTAATCGAAAGTATTGAACATTTAGCGATTAAGAAGCATTTAAAATAGACCCAGAGACATCAACCGACTTTATGACACCACTACTGGAGAAGGTATGGAAAGAGGGTAAGGAACTTGACGACTAGAGGAAAGGCTACCTATTCAAACTGCCAAGGAAAGGAGACTTAAGTCAATTTAAGAACTGGCGCGGCATTTTGCTCCTGTCCATCCCAAGCAAAATACTAAGCTGCATCATCCTGAAGAAAATCAAACACGCCCTGGATGAAAACTTTCGGCCGGAACAGGCTGAATTCAAGAGGATTAAGTCATCCATCGATCAAATTGCAACTCTACGGATCATCATTCAACAGAGCTTGGAGTGGCAGTCAGCTTAATACCTCAACTTCATCGACTTTGAAAAGGCCTGCAGCAGCGTAGCGTCGGTTGAGAGGTGAGTGAGAACTACTTCGCTACTACCAAAGGGTGCCGCCAACAATTATACACCTCATCCAACAGTTGTACGACAATGATGCATGTCAAGTAATCCACAACGAGAAACTCACGGAACCCTTCGAAGTGAAGACAGGAGTAAGTCTAGACTGCCTACTATCTCCAATGATTATCCTGATTGCCGGCGGTAGACTGGATAATGAGACAGACAGTTAGCGGGAAACGAGGAGATAGGCATTAGATGGAACCTCACAAAAAACTTGGAGGATCTGGACTTCATCGATGATATATGTCTGATTTCCACAAAATGGAAGATATGCGCGCGAAAAGCGACAAGTTGACGGAGAAGCATCAAAGATAGGACTTCAGGTGAACATAGATAAAAAAGAGGTGATGAAGATTCCTGGCCAACAGCAAGAGCGACAGCAGCAACAACAACAAAGAGCATAAATGGGAGAAATCTGAAAGAAGCAACCTCCTTTGCCTAACTGGGAAGCATCGTTTCAAATACAGGAAGGCGGAACTGATGACAATGTCAAAGCGAGGATCGGTAAAGCAAAGCAAGCTGCCACTACTCTCAAGTCTGTGTGGGGATCAACAGCACTCAGCATGAAAATAAGATTCGGATTTTAAACTCCAATATGAGCACAGTGCCACTATACAGATCAAAAACTTGGAGCCGTGTCACGAAGAGCACTTCGAACAAAATATAGACTTTCATCAACAGCTACCTTTGCTCAATACTACTCAAGATCAAATGGCCGGCCAAAAAAGACCAGCAACAGTGATCTCTGGAGATGAGCGAACCAACCAACCCAACAGGAACCGATTGTGCAACAAATATGCAGGAAGAAATGGAGGTGAATTGGTCATACTCTGGGAAAAAAAGCCATCAAGTGAGCGAGACCACACGCTAAGCCATCACTCGAGTGGAACCCGAACAGAGAGAACAGAACGCGCAATGGAGACGTGCGGCTGAAGCCCTATATTCCTCTAGGGATTAAATGAAACAATAATAATAAGACGTGTGTGTTACGCTTGCCCAGCTATCCCTTTCCTTTTCGAGCAGTGTAAGTCGAAATAAGACTAAATTGGAAAAGAGTTAAGGGGGGAGCGAATTAAAGCAACGCATCAATCCGTGATGCTTTTGGCAGTTGGTTTGAGGTGTAGACAGTCTGGCTGGGGTCCTCAGGATGCTAAGAACCAATAGTTTGAGACTGTTGATAATATGGTTCAAAATCATTCTGAATGGTCCAGATGCATTCACTTTTTCTAATCTACAAAAGCCACCAAACCGTGAGTGTTTCTCCATTATCACTCATTATCGTTTTTTTGGAATTTTTCTTTATATTTTCGTGTGCTACTTAAAGTTCGATAACCTGAAGAATAAGATCACGCAGTTGATCAACTCTGTGTGCGTCTATCAATTCATCTGCTCGTGTGGAGCTATGTACATCGGTCGTTTGGTTAGAGTTTTGTCTAAGAGGATTAAAGAACACTATCCTGCCTGGTTACAAGAGGGTGAAAGTGGAATAATAAGAAGCGCGATCATTGAACATCTGGTCGATAATGATCACCCTATCTCTATAGCATCCGCCTTTAAGGTCATCTACAAGGCGAAGAGTAATTTACCCAAATCCCTACGTACCCGACTCATCTGTTGCATTGTTGAAGCCATCTTTGGCTAACGAAACAGAAAAGCCAGATCTCTGTGTACAGAAGAAGTTCGTTCAACCCGTCCAACTTTCATGGTGTCTTAATCCCTCTATGCTAAAGTATGGTAATCCCAAATCATATTTTAGCTCTACCAATTTTTCATTTTTTCATTTTGTCTATTCAATTTGTATTCTCTTCCTTTATTACGTCAATTGTTACTATTACTATTCTCACTTTGAACTGTCCCCGGTATTATTTCACTCGTTCCACTTGTCATTTTAAATCAATTCCTGTTTTGCAACGTTAAATTCTATGTGATCAAATTTCACACAATGTTACGCAACGTTTTTGTTTTATTCGATTTGTCTACTAATCCTATAATTGCACACCCTTTTTCAAGTTCTATCCCTCCTATGAATTATTCTATAAATGACATTAATTTGTTTTGCCACTTGACATTGAACTATGGTTATAATCACAAACATTTTAATTTCATTTCATACTACTATTATCATTTCAAGTATTCATATCTATGATTCAATTCCCTCACAGGATATAAGTTCTTAAAAACCACATTTACACGATTGTACAGCTTGATAATAAATTCGTTGTTGGAAAGAGTCTCTTCGCTGAATCCCCACTTGTTTTGATTTTTTATAGATTTAGAGTGTGGTGATTTGAAGTGCTGCACTTCTGTGCAGAGTTAAACGTTAAACCTCAGTAAGTCAGTCAATCAGTCACTCATCTAACGATTAACTTTGGTTATTTTTTGTTAATTATAAAAATCGATTACAACACACGGGGCTGATAATGTTAACACTGCCTTTAAAGACTAAAAGTGTCACATGGGTAAAAAGATAACGAGAACAGGGAACAAACTCCCCAACCCTGCAGCCTCAATCGCTCACACACTTACACATAAACATAAAACTTACATCAGCAACATCAATGTTCCCATGATCATGTTTTATAATACTGTACAAAATTGGTAGAGCATTTCTAGCGCGTAAATTAGCCAATGACTCTCGAACGCTGATATGACGATAATTTGATTCTAACAGGGGAGGATCTGATTGACGTACATTAGGACTGCATCCACCAGTACTACAGATACTCCCACAAGCAGGACCAACACTGCCACTAAGCTGTTGATGATTACTGATAAGTAATCGATCATTTTGTGGACTATTGGATCCGATGAGAAGAGTTTTCTCTGTAACAAGAAAGAAGAAGAGTAGATACTTGAAATTCAACCGAATAAAAATGGGAGATTGAAAAAGACATATAAATGTTCATACTAAAAATATAGTAGAATATGATGCTACTGGATGTGAGGAATTCTACGGAGGCGCCATACACCCTTCCTTAGGTTGGAGAGGCCAGATTTCACAAACATTTAGGAAGGCAGAGTAGATTGAAGTATTGCATTCTTGACCTTTGATAGCCAGCCTAACATCGTGAGAGAGTCAGAGGTGGTCTTTCATTATGGGGTCAGAGAGAGATGTCATCCGTCACACTGTTATCACTGAATTGAACTGAATAAACCCCGAGGCTATTCTGTTATTTCTGCGCCTGTTAATTACTATAACGGTCATGAACTCGACTGGTACGCTAATACATCTATTTTTCCGTAATACCTTCCAATTCACAGGGACACACAAATATCAAAAGACAAAGACTGGCCTGTGTATGTATGTCTGTCTGTCTGTTTTCGACATAGAACTTTGCACAAATGTGCACCAGTTCAAGTCGCCACACTCCCTCCGTGTAGCACACAAAGCAAGAGAAGAAAGTAGAAGAAATGCATAATAGAGACAGTAAAAAGAGGTGTGAGACAAAGGAAGAGTAATAACGAAGAACAAACAGTTTCATTGGGAATCATAAGTCACAAGGAGTGGATGCATCTGCGCTAACCATCACTGAGAACGATTTTGAGCCATGTCACCAATTGTTTCAAACCATTGGTTCTTACCGTCACGAAAACCTCAACCAGGAATCCTACACCTTTCTACGTGACTAGCTTAAACTAACTGTTGTGGATTTCATTTGCTGGTGCCATGTTTTGGTTTGACCTCGGCTAGCTTTTTTCCAGTCTGACCCTATGTCAGTTAACATTGCACGTCTGTTAACCAAGGCGATGGCTAGGCATACGTAACACATATCTAAACCATCTCGGTCAATGTAGCTTCACAACCTCGTCTACTGATTTCCCCTCCTTACCTAGAACTCGACCGATGTCTAACATCAATATTGCTCACCTTATTATACCACTTCACACGGGAGATAGAACGCAGGCACCTATGATCAAAGACAGCTAGCCAGCCTTTTCATGTCTTTCACTCTCACTGGCCAGGTCTCACAGCCATAAAGGAGGACGGAGCAAACTGATGAGCAGTACACCCGCCCTTTGGTCGACAGCCAGCCGGATGTCACGTTTACGCCAGAGACGGCGTAAACTGGAATATGCGAAACTAGCCCTCTGTATCTGTACTCAGCTGAGATTTCGTCAGAGATCAACCCGTTACCACTGGCTGATAGTACTTCCCAAATAAGTGAAGCGGTCAACACTCTCCACCGACCACTTCACTCCTTCCTATTTCTAAACTAGGAGTCAAAGTAGTCCAGTTCAGTCCAGTCCAGTCCTGTAATATCATCTTACATTTGGCTGGAGCAAATCGCATGCCAAACATTCGTAGATTGAGGCCCAAGGTGTTCAGAAGACTCTGCTCTATTTTGTCAGAGTCATCGCCTAGGAGGACTATATCGTCTACATATTCTAAGTCAACGAGATTATTCCCTGGTGGTAGCAAGTCAATCCCTGAGTCGCTGAAGTCACTTAGGGTTAAGTCCATTAGTACATCTATGATGAAGTTGAATAGGAAAGGGGATAATGGGCATCCTTGACGGACACCACTAGTCGTCATCAGTTCAGATGACAACTCACCGTAAGCCTTCACCTGACCTGTGACTGTAAGATAGTGTATTATACACGTATTAGAAAACAAAACATCATATTTATATATTTAATTTATCACAATACAGTTGGCTGACAACCGTGGGAATGGCTACTCTCATTGGCTGGTGATCCGACAAAGACCAATGTGAGACAAAAGACGATGAATTGATTACACAATATGTGTGAGAAATGATAGATCCAGATAGTAACTCCATCAAAAGATAAATCCCACGATTCGTGAGAAAGGATGATATACTATTTTATGCTGGGTCCTATCACATACCTTCTCCAATACTCACACAACAACTATCAACATACACGAACATTTTCACTACTTTCAACGGTTCATCCGCCAGGATAAGTGAAAGTAAGTACAGGCTCTTGTAGTTTTAATCAACGGAAAGCACATACCACCATGCTTACAAACATTAAGAGATATAATCCAAATCATCAGACAATAACATCAGATACACTAGAGAATCGTAATCAAGGACAGATATGTTGCGATCTCCTACTCTTGTTCTCTTTCTGAAAATAACACGAAGTAATCAATGCCCCCTGAATACTCTTGATAAGTGTCATTGTCTGTTTTCATGATACAATTCCTCAGTTATCCTACCTTTATCCCATATTATGTACGTTTTCAATTGCTTTTGTATAGCACATTTTTTGATGCCCATATACTTTACCATTGTAAAAGACAAGAGACTTGTTAAAGGAAAATTTATTAGATAGTTGGAGGCAATCGTCCACAGGAAGCCTTGCTTCACCTAGGTTTCGTGCTAGTTGGCACTCACCAGTCAGTCAGAAAGGCGTATCTGCAACCTTGAAGGAACTAATGTCCCTTCTGAGATTCGAACTCGCATCAGAGACGTTACCACTGAGCTATTCGGGCTCGCAATTGACCTCCTGTAGGACTGTGGTGGATACTTCGATTGACTGACTGCAGCACTGGCTAGGCGACGTGGATTCGAATCTCAGAAGAGACATAAGTACTTTCAAGTGTGCAGATACGCCTTACTGACGAGTGTCAACTAGCGCGAAACCTAGACCAAGCGAGGCTTCCTGCCTATTGATTGTCCCCAACCATCTAATATCATCGAATCAATGTGCACCGTGATGGCAAGCTACCTAGTGGCATGGTGACCGCATTGTAAACCGGACTGACAGAATTCGGTCTGCACCAAAGAAACGACTGGACACATCACACTAGTTACTAGTGTCCAATGAAAATAAAGCAAACTTTATTTGCATTTTGGTATCTCTGTATGGCGAAATCATGCACACCTCATCTTCAATGTACTATTCACACGAATCTTCCGTGTTGTGCTACTTCTGCCCTTCATACTGAGTTTCTTTGTGCTCCTTTCACGTCTTTCATGTATCTCGTCAACGGTAAATCATTTGCTTCCTCTGACATCAAATCTATCTCCTTGCTACTTGATATTTTTGTGTCGATGAACGTCTCTTTATATAATATATACTACTGATAAATCTTATGAGTAGCACAAGCCATATCATGTTTCAGTTTAAAATACTCTAATGGATTACTCTATTTGGAGTAATTTTGATGCTTTAGTCGTTAGGTATCCTAGGGGTAAAATCATTTACGCTCATGAAGGTACAGATACTACTACTTACTGCTGTGGCACGTACTACTGACACGATTTATAAGTAGTGTATAAAAATACAGATATTATAAATATTTACATTGTCTGCAAGAATATCAAATGTATATAGTGGAGAGATCTTCGATTCAACGGCGAAACAGAGAAAATGAACAGGTAAAACGTGTGGAAGGAAGACACAAAGAGAAGCAGCACAATATGGAAGACAGAAGAAGCTAGTACAATACTGAAAATGTGTGTGTCTTGGAGTAGATTTGTAGCTAAGATGGATGATTTTGATGTGGTTGTGTTCTCTGAGCTGGATAGGTAATTTGCGAAGCTTTCATCGTCCCCTCTACTAGGCGACATCTTCAGTGCACACACTTCAGTTGGATGAAGTGAGCTTTTAGATTTCTCCACCAGTTTATTAATCATCTTCCCTGGTGACCTTGAACGTGACTGGTTGTTTTGTATGCTTTCATACCTTCTAGGTTACTTGTATTGGAACTGATTGTTTTTTGGACTCGAACTTTGACCCACTGTGTGTGAGGTTTCTTTATTATCAGTTGATAAATTTTGTCTATCTCTGTGTCTATTGATTGATTGATGATTCACTGGAATAACAGGCAGACAACCACGGACATCGATTCGACTGGGACAACCAACGTTCAAATATCAGACAGAGGAAACAACAAGAATGCTAGCCAGAGAATTTTAAGAAGCCTGCCTGGTATTACTGTGAATCATCAATCGATCAGTAGACACATCGAGATAGACAAAATTTATCAACCGATAAGAAAGAAACCTCACACAGAAAGAGTCAAAGTTGAAGTAAAAAAAGAAATCAGTTCCAATACAAGTAACTTAGAAGGTATGAAAACACACAAAAACAGCCAATCACATCCAACGTCACCAACCAGGAGAGATGATTAACAAAATCGTGGAGAAACAAAAAAGCTCACTTCAGTGAATTCCCGACCGAAAGCTGCTACCTTGACGTGGTGGTCGGGCTTGAACACCGCAATGACCTAATCAAGCTATACTGGCTGAGACTTATGTCTCTTGAGGTCTACCATGCCAGGCAGGTTGTTTGGATAGCGGTTAAACAAAAAGCAGCTACCCAATCCAACATCATGATACACACAAAATCACAAAATTTCATGCCGGATCGGCCGTGGCCCGGATTAACAACGACCGCGCTTCCTGCTGCCGTGTCACAGGGCAGGAGTGATAAATATGCTACTGAGACACACCAAACAAAAAGAACAAACAAAAACAGGCCGCGTGTGACCGGCCTCAAGCAGTTGTCCCCTGGGCTCTGCGGTCACGCAACCAACTTCCACGGTGTGGGCAGCCGGGAAGTAACAATCGCCCTCACAATCCGAAATGCACACGAAACCTCTCTATTACTCACTCATCTTTGTCTTCATCTTCATCTCTATCATCTTGCCTTCCTTCCACTGATGCAACTCCTCGACTTGATAGCTCTCCACTTCCTCTCCACTCTGCGTCCACTAAAAACGATGGAAGCCAAAAAACCACCACCGACAGCCTCTTAAAGCCGCGCCACCAATTTCATATAGGAGCTCTTAATGTTAGGACACTTTGCCAAATAGGACAACAAGCATCACTAGCCAAGACCCTGGCATC